ATATATATATATATATATTTGATTCTGACAACTTGTTCTCTTACCACTCTCCATAGGTTCCTGATGGTTTTATCTCCCACTTCTATGCCATATCAGAACATGTGAGCCCAGTTTTAGCTTTTGGGTTTTTGGGACCCAGGCAGCACCTAAGTGAAGTGTGCACCATCTTCAAGGTGAGAGCATACACAAGTAACATTTTGACACCATTTTGGACAGTGAGTGACTGTTTGTGGTGTAAAGAGTTGCATTATGGGAAGTGTGGGATCCAGGGTTTTTGGGGTGCGACTCATACATTTGTACTGTCACTATACTGTCATTCACTTCTCTCTTTTCCTCCGCAGCAACAAATCGTGCAGTACCTTAAGGATATGTTTGATCATGACAAGGTCCGCTTCACCTCCGCTCAGTGCTTGGCTGAGGACATCCTGAACCTTTCCCACCGCCGGAGTGAGATTTTACTGGGGTACCTGGGAATCAATAGCCTCATGGAGCTCAATGGTGCCCTGCCCAGAGACACAGACGGCTCCTCAGGGCCCAACTAAGACAACTAGAGGTCACTAAGGGTTTCATTGGGCTTGTACAGGCCGAACGCAATGGGCTGGCCAGTAGAGAACAGCAAGGACACTTATTCTGTATCTCCATTAAGACTGGATTGAATCATGCTCCTGTGATACACTGAGAACCAGCATTATTGGTTCATCCATCTGTGCTCATCAAACACAACTGCTGTAAGAGGATGTAATTTCACCAGATCCACAGTATCACTTGTCCTTGAGCTAATGAGGGAGAGCGGTTGGAAAATATGATTCCATCTCTCCCTTGTTATCAGCTGCTGTGTTGCGTATCAAGAATGCCTACTGTAGTTGTGTGATCTCAGACGAGTGAGGACTTGTCTCTGCCTTGTTGGGTGACGGATTCTTCTTGGAAAAAACACACTGACAGAAGCACTCCCAACGCAGGAGGACTGGGCCTTCTACACTATTACTCCACATGGATTGCGTCTCTTCAGAGAACCAGCGGTTGCACTGTAACCTTTCATCCATCTGACTTGTGGAATCGGATGGGATGTCATAGTCTTCATTATTGTGTGAAAGCAAATGGCGTGAGAGTCTGTGCGTTTGTATGTTTTATATAAAAGGGGAAGGGAATTTGTTAAAACCATGATGATTCCTGACAGACTTGGCAACTGAAGACTTGAAGGACATAATGGATTTGTCTCCACACTGATTGTTCTTAAATCCCCTATAATATGAAGTATTTATTCCAATTTGGTTTAATTGAGGGGGCTAAGATGTGACATATCCAAGAGACTGTGTTAAATGCAAAAAGACATCATATGAAATTATTGTAGGGTGCTAATATGTTACTAATATAGAAGTTGCATTATCCCAAAGCTATAAAACCCCAGACCACAGTTTCTTGTCATACAATCTTCTCAGTCGAAGTGGACATAGCTAATCTAGCTAAGATACAAATGGTTAAGTTGTACTTTCTTTAAGTCACAGTGATCCCTCTGATTTTATTTGCCAGTGGATAGCATTAATATTTTCAATTTTAAGTGCTTCAGAGGTACAAAATGGAACTTCCCACTACGAATAACCTAATACCAGATGTGAAAACATCTGTCTGAATACATCACACAGAGGATTATTGCCAGATTTGAAGGTGTAACCGAAAACAAATATCTCAAACAAACAAACAAACAAAACACATCAACGCTCTCAGGAAGTAATAAGTAACATTGTAACTTGAAATCACTGTTAGGAAATGTGTTACTTCTTGACTAACAAGCTCAATGGTTTTCTTTTTTCAAATTCTTACCATTAATGTATTTGCTGATTGGTTGTGGCACTTGAATTCCTTCCACATATTTAGGCCTACAACTTGCTAAGCTTTAATTTACTGAATAAAAGAAGTAATCAAAGTGAAAATGTTTAGGTAAAAGTACCCAAGTTGATATAAATCATTGTTTTCACTGTAAAATTTAGAACAATACTACTTCCTGATTATGGTTGTTCTGATCATCTTAAAGGTTACTGACTGTAAAGGAGTATAGGATAGATGGATTTTGAAAAATAATCAGCTGTTTCCACTAGATATTTTTCACAGCCGGCATTTGACACAGTAGGAAAAGCCCAGGTGTTACTTATGATGGCAACAATGGCTCTGTCGTATTTAAGTGTCCCAATAAGCCACAACAGTGACAGAGAGCCAATATGCACAATACCAGGAGGCTGAGACTGAAGCAGCTAAATGGAATTCAGCCATCATTAATTGTATTATTTACACACTGTGCTTTTCATACTGTGACATGTCAAAAGGCCTAACGGTGTGTAGCTGTCTAACACCTTCAGATATATAATTGATTGATTACAAACAGATATTTTCCAATACTATACACACGATACATGTGTTGCTGGTTTTTAATTTGATATGTATTTATTCAGTTTCTTAAAAATGTATGTCATTGTCAATTTATCAGTTTATCTAATAGTCTGTTTTATTAATGGACAACACAACCTCCAAATTGAACGGTGCCATCTACTAGTCTAAGCAAGAATATTGTTGTTTTCTTTCTGGTTTCATGAAGAAGCAGGCATTGTACTGTCGGACTGTAACCTATAAAACAAGTGCACTGATGAAAACCCCCAAGTTCTCTCTGTTTTCCCAATGTGAAATACTGTTGGAGCACAGAGACATGGACGGGGCACTAAGATGCCAAGTTAAAAGTTAGTTTTCTTATGCGATCCTAACTTAACAACTCCACCACTGTAAAAGCAAGTTTGTGTTTAGCAAATTGTAGTTTAACAAATACTAAATAATCGTAATGAAATATGATAAGATTATTTATTATTAACGGCAGTAGAAGCACAGAATGTATGCATATGGTTGTGTGCGTGAATGAGAAAAAGGGAAGGAATTTCTGTCAAATCATTTAGATCATGGGGCTCAATAGTTTATCATGCACATTAGCAGAAGTCAGCTCTTTGTTATTCATAATCAGAAGTGTGTGTTTTGTGGTCATGGGTAATCTAAATCTTGCTCTTATTGCAACACGCCTCTGAAATTCAGAGCTCAGAAATTGTTTTTTTTGGTTGCAATTCAATACCATTGTGTTCTCCTTAAAGTGAACTGTGTCAAGAGTAATCAGCATTGCGGCATTATTTCTGTTTCTATGTAACATGAACCAGAACTGTAAATAGAGCTTTTACAGACAATAATTTAGGTCTTTCTTTTGACAGATGTGCAGCTTTGTGTTTTTAAGCATTTTGCACTTTATCAAGAAAAATAGAAAGATACAGAAAAGTCCAACAACCGTTTTTGAATAATCAGTTTGATAGTTTAACTATATAAACATATTATAATTATTTATTACACCATAGAACTAACATTTTATTGATAGCATAGAGCCTAAATGCTGTATAGTATAGAAACTATCTTTCCCAGAAAACTATATTATGGAAATCTATTCTGGTTACTATCCAAAGTTTTTGTTTTAGTCTCCATCTTTGAAATGTTCTCCCATTTTAACTGCGTGTGGTCCAATCCCTGGTACGCTGCTTTAAAAAAAAAAAAAAGTTCTCCCATGTTTTACTCCTGTTATTGTAGAGTCTCAAGTATATTTGCAAAAGTATGCATCATGCAGGTGATTTATGGAAAAAATGCTAATGTTTAGTCTTGTGTTTGCATATTGGTCTGCTTTTTATGTGTCCTGAGAGTTGATGATCAGAGATGAGTTCCTCCAACAGCCTTTGCATGTAAACAGTGTAGATTCTCTGAAGTGCATCAATCAATGTAACCCTGCGACATTTAGACCCAGACTCAACTCCAGTTGTTGTTAGTTTTGAAAATCTCAATTAGAACTAAGATAAAGAAAATGCTTAGGAACTTATAATCATTTGAAAGTCAAAATTCAGGCATGGACTCTCCTACTTAGCATATATTCGATAGATTATAGAGTTTTACAAGGATTTCAGGTGGCCAAACTGTGGAATGGATTGTTTCCTCTTTTTTTTTTTTTTTTGAAAGTCACTGCTGAACATTACAAGTGTCCTATTCATGCCTTTTGTCTTTTCTATTGTTAAATTACAATGCCAGCACAAACTGTAAATTGATTTTGATTCTCCATATTAAATGTTATTTTTTGTTATTAAAAAAAATATGTTTATTATGCCTTTTCCCAACTGATGACGGCTCATTGTATTTCATGTTCCACCAAGAGTCCAACTCGAAATGATTTTGTAAAAATAAGTGAGAAAATTAAGTAAAGGGGCATTTTGATGTTCTGAGATGGCTAAGTTGTTCCTGTAATTATGAGAACGGTAATGTGAGATTGTCCACAAGGTGGCAAAACTCTGCACTCTACATTGCAGTGTATCAGCTGATACAAAGATCCCAGGTCCCTGCATGTATTATAATATAATTTAAAACAGCTTTATTATGATGCCTTTTGTTGACAACAGCCATGTTAAATAACATTAAACATTAAATCTGGTACAAATATTTATCTCCCCCTCTGGATAAATAGACCTTTTTCACAGCAGTTTTGACACGAAATAGTAGGGTAAACACAGGTGTTGC